CAGGGGCATTTCGAGCGGGTCTTTCATCGGTACTCAGCTGAAACCCCTGCCTGCCTGCATTCTCTCTCTTCCCTCCCTCCTTCTCTCTCTTCCCCTCTATCCCTCACTATACCTACCCTCCCTCCCTCTTCTTTGCCTTCTCCCTCTTCCTCTCCTTCCTCCCTTCTTTGTCCTCCTCAAGCTCCATTTTTTTGAAGCACTCAGACCCACAAATTCTTGCCATCTTAGTCATTCCAAAGTGCGATTTTTGCCTTTTCACCTAGCTGAGAGTGCCAGGTTCTGCTTGCCCTGCTCTGTGGCTGGAAGGTGCCTTCAGATGGTGAGCTACTGGACATACAACTCATCTCATGCACTTTTCTTCTCTGTGAAAGACTTCTGTGATGCCTATTACCAATTTTTGGAACCGATTTAATGTATATTTTGCTTAATTTCTCAGATAATGTTAGAAAGTAAATCTTAAGCCAGGCAGTGGTGGTGCACACCTTTAGTTCCAGAAGATGGGAGGCAGGGGCAGGTGGATCTCATTGAGTTCGAGGCCAGCCTGGTCTACAAAGGGAGTTCCAGGACAGTCAGGCTGTTACACAGACAAACTCTATTTCTGGGGAGGTGGGGGTGGGGGAGAGAAAGTAAATCTGGTCCTTTTATTCTGCCTTGGCTAGAAGCTTGTCATTGTAGCTTCCATTGTGTTCCTCTGGTGCTGAATTCTTGATCAAAAGGTATGAATCTTTCAGACTCAGAGGGACACTATCTACTTGCTCTACCACCAAATGTTACAAATTGTTGTTCCCAGAGCCTGGAGAGCTTCCTGCATCCATGTACCAGTAAAGACTGACAACTTTAAAGCACTAGACAGAGGTCAAAATAGGAAATACAATTCCCTGAAACAGTGAAAAATACTTAATTCAATTTAGCAAAGTAAGATTCTGCAAAAGGAGAAATCAGCAAATGATGTTATTAACCAGTGAAAGTATTATATTCATTTAAAATGGTATATTATTTAAAAAGGGATTTCAGGGAACAAAAACTGGTTTAAATTAAAAATGTGATAGTTGGGCTGGAGAGAAGGCTCAGTGATTAAGAGCACTGGTTGCGCTTCCAGGGGAGCCAAGTTGTTGTCAGCATCCACGTGGTGACTCACAGCCAATCTGTTACTTCTGGCTCTTTGGGTACTGTACACATGTGATACACAAACATGCATGCAAGCAAATCACCTATACGCATAAAATAAAATAGTCATTATGGGAATAGGAGGCAATGAGAGCAGGAGGAAGAACAGAGAGAGAAAGGGAACAAGAAGAAGAATTGAAGAAATTCTCCACAGGTTGCACAAATTATGCGCGCACACACACACACACACACACACACACACACACACACACACACACACACAGCAAAGTTGTGAAAAATAAGATTAAAAATAGTATAAAATATGAACACCTTTAATCCCAGCACTCGGGAGGCAGAGGCAGGCGGATCTCTGTGAGTTCGAGACCAGCCTGGTCTATAAGAGCTAGTTCCAGGACAGTTCTCCAAAGCCACAGAGAAACCCTATCTCGGGAAAAAAAAAAAAATGCCACCCAAATCCAGGAAGCCCAGTGTCTTAGTAATAGAATTCCACACAGAAAACAAAAGGAGGGATATTATCAATGAGGTATTTCAGAAGCTATTCCATAGTCACATCTAGTCATATAATGCACGAAATTCCAGCTGTGTGCATTATATGATTAGAGGGAAAGAATGCAAGGCAGTCATTCCCAAATGAGGACAATGGCGGCAATTCCAAGGTTATGGGGGTTTTCTCAAAACCCCATAAGTTTCAATTGACAGTAAATACATTATCCTACTAGCCCTCAAAATTCAATCAGGTAAAGATTTGTATAGTCCTCATAATAAGTGGGGAAGCTGAAACTGACATGATCGAACAAAGTTTGTTCCTCATCTTATAGAAAGAAGTAGTGGACCAAGAACCAACCTCAGTCTTCTGGTTTGACATTTGTCCCCTGCTCTGTTATCTGGGCCATCTGAGCTCTTCCCACCTTGCTATTCTAGTACTTTGGTCAAATGATGCTTTCTTCAGAATTAGCTGTTTCTGCATCGGAAGTGACCATGATGGAGCTACATTCTCTGATACCCAGATTGAGCCTGAGGAAGTTTATGAAGCACTTAGCAGAAGACCCCAAACTCAGTGAGTGGCCGGTGATTGTGACTGATAATATTAATGCCCACAAGAAAAAAATGAGTTGAAATACTACTTGACCAAGCATTAAGCTTGCAAGGATGAATCCAAATGCACAGACCAATGGCATGCAAGAATGAATCCCAGTGCACTGACCAATAGCATGCAAGAATGAATCCAAGTTCCCTGGAAACAGACAGCATCAGCAACATCTAAGGACTGGTAGAGGTATACACAAGACACAATGGGAACAGAAAGAAGAATCATTTAGAATGGGGCTAGTTGGCTGAATGTGGATGAAGGAATCTGCCTAGAGATGTAAGTTGAATTAAGAAGAACAGACACAATGAGAACAATGATAGTGGGAGTAAAGGGAAGGACAATATAATATTTAGAAATTAATATTACTATGCTAAAAGACAAATCAAAGGAATTAAGAAGGAAGATCCATCACACAAATAGAGGACAGCCAGCAGCCTGAGGGTGTAATTTAGTGGTAGACATTCTGCATGAATCCCCAGCATAAAAATAAACAATATTACAAGTACCAGAAAAGCTTACACATGAGCTGGGAATTATACACTATCCATGGTGTGTTCTCTTTGTTATATACGCTGTGGCTGTTTTATTTCTAAATGTACATGTCTTTATTGCGATTCATTTTCTACAGCCAGCATTCACTTACAGAATTGGCCAACAACAATAATGAAATGGCAGAGCAGTAATTATTTTTTAATATATTGTAAAGAAATAGCAAGGGTTTCAGCAAGAAGAATAAAAATGCTTTCACACATTTTTAATCTGATTTTTATCTGTTCCATACTAAAAGATTTAAATTTTAAAAGAATCACTAAGCATCTTAAAAGAAGCCATTTCAAATCTGTTTGATGGGTAGAAGGCGAGTTCCAAGGGCCTGACACTGAGCCTATTGAGATGATGGAGGCAAATTCATCCTGAGTGTTTAGAAGCTGGTAGATCAAGCAAAATTGCTACTCAGGGGGTTATATCAAATACTGAAGAGACCTCAGCCAGCACTGGAGTGGACCACAGCATTGGACCACACCAATCACCCATAGTACCACTTATCTGAGTCCTATCAAAGTGAGTTCCAGCATACACTCTGCCCCAGCTTAACCCCAGAAAGGCAGGGGTTCTGACCTGGCCTGGAGTTAGTTATCTGAATTGTTAACATGGGCCCAGCCTAAGATAAAGCTAGTGAGGTGTCAGCGATATTTCAGAGAAGCTGTGAGACTCAAGGGTCAGTCTAAATTCAGCCTGACATTTTTGGTTTGAAATGGCAGCAAGCTGCTCAAATGGCTACTCACGAACAGTGTCCATACATTCCTACACTAAATTTAACAATGCAGGAATTTTGGCTCACCAAGTCTCCATAAATCAATTTCCATGGTTCCTCCTAAATTAGGCCATGTTAGGACAAAATTCACTCAAAATAGTTATAAGTTAAAAGCAACTTAATGAGTGACTTGCAAGATTATTCATTTTCTCCATATAGACCCAAAACACATTTACTTTCTTTTTGCCTGCATCTATACAAAAAGGTATCTGAATAACTAGTTCTTTGAGAGCCAAGAATTGTCTCAACTGGTTAAGAAAAAAGTACAATTTGGGGCTACTGAGATAGTTCAGTAGTGAAGGCCTAACCACCTCAGTTGGATACCCAGAGTCCATTTAAAACTGAAAGGAAAAAACTGAGTCTATAAAGTTGTCCTCTGACTTCATCCATGCCCCATGGACCACTCTCAGCTCCCTCCCCTCACATTACAAAAAAAGTAAAAGACAAACCACTAATTAGACTGGAACAAATAATTTTAACAAGGCACCCAGAACTATTTGTTGCACTGTTTAGTTGTGTTAATAAAGCATCATTAGATTTCCTTCCCCCAGTCACTACTTGAGATGCAAAGCTGGGGAAATGGTCCAGTAGATGCAATGCAAGCGTTCCAGTTAGCATCCCTGAAACCAGGCTTTTCGCCCACCCAGAAACTGAACTATGAAATGAAATTTGGGCACAATGAGATCCGGTGGCAAGTGTCCCACATCTGCTTTTCTGAGCCAGATCTACTTTCTGCCTCTAGTTAGAGCCACCCAGATTTCCTACACAAGACCAACAAACATTTCTAACTCTCCATCTCTGTATTGTCGGTTGATCCTTGGAGCCAGGTCTCCCACAGTACTCCATTCGCAGCATGATCATTCCTGTGTGTGTTTAGTTCCCTGGGACACAATCCATTTTCCCTCACCATGAATTCTCAGTGACAACACCTTGAGAGCAATTATTCTCAGAAAACAGCTCCCCCAGTTCCAAGCTTCATTTGTCTTTCCCCACGGGTCATTTATCACAGGGAGGTGGCCTGTGGAGGCAAATCCTGAGTGCACGTCCGTAGGATCTCCTGTGTATAATCTTAGGCCCACGCTGAGCAAAGGGAATTTTTATCTTGCACTCGGTCTGAGTATGAGCCAGTATAGAAATAGAAGAAAGCCTAGCAGTAGGAGAAAGCACAAGCTCGATCACTGTTTTTTGAAGAGTATTCTAATACTTCGTAAAGAGATATCACCTGATACCACAATTTACATATGTACCTGCCATCTCCCTTCCACCAAAGACTTTCTTTCTATAGGAGCTGTAATTATCTTTTTTTAAAAGATAAATATTTTCTAAGATTGTAATTTCACCCGGGTCTGGCGAGCTGGCTCCATGGTGAAAAACACTGGTTGCTCTTCCAGAACACCCAGTTCAGTTCCCAGCACCCACACGGCAGCTCACAACTGTCTATAACTCCAGTTCCAGGGGATCAGACACCTTCACACAGACATACATGCAGGCAAAATGATGTCGATGCACATAAAATAAATTATTGTTTAAAAGATTATAATTTTGGAAGTTTGAATCGGGGTACAACGGAGGAGTGGGCGCCGGGATCTCGCTGTGCGTCCGCCTGGCCTCGTCTCTTGCTGGCTTGTGCGATCTTTGGCACGGTGTGAGATGGCTGGCTGGAAAGGACTCCGGAAAGGCCAAGACAAAGGCGGTTTCCTGCTGGCAGAGAGCCCGCTTGCAGTTCCCTGTGGGCCATGTTCATCGACACCTGAAATGTAGGACAACCAGCCAGGGCAGTGTGGGCGCGACTGCCGCTGTGTCTAGCGCAGCCATCCTGGAGTACCTCACCGCAGAGGTGCTAGAGTTGGCAGGAAAGGCACCAAAAGACTTAAAGGTAAAGCGTATTGCCCCTCGTCACTTGCAACTTGCTATTCGTGGAGATGAAGAATTGGACTCTCTGATCCAGGCTACAATTGCTGGTGGTGCTGTCATCCCACACATCCACAAATATCTGACTGGGAAGAAGGGACAACAGAAGACTCTTTAAGGATGCCTGGATTCCTTATTATCTCGGGATTCTAAATATTCTTAACAGCTGTGTAGCGTCGGTGATTCCAGTGGGCTGTATCTCTGTGAAAAACACAATTTTGCCTTTTGTTCTATTTGAGCGAGTTGGAGGCTTAATTGGCCTTCCAGCCAACCAAATTTCTGCATTCGAGTCTTAACCATATTTAAGTGTTACTGAGGCTTCAAAGAAGCTATTGATTCTGAAGTAGTGGGTTTTGATTGAGTTGACTGTTTTAAAAAACTGTTTGGATTTTAATTGTGATGCAGAAGTTATTGTACAGACATTATTTCCACTCTGGTGGATAAGCTCAATAAAGGTCATATCCCAAACTAAAAAAAGATTATAATTTCAACATTCCCCCCTTCCCTTTATTCCCTCTAAACTCTGCCATGTATACAACTACACACTCCTTTCTTTCAAATTTGTGGCCTCTTTCTTAAAACAAAAACAAAAACTAATTGTTGTTTTTGGTGGTAGTGGTGTGTGTGTGTGTGTGTGTGTGTGTGTGTGTGTGTGTGTGTGTGTGTGTGTGTTCTTAAATACTTAACTACAACCTACTCAGACTGTACAATGTTCTTGCTTGTTTTCAGGACTGACCATTTGGTGTTGATAACCAATTGATGTGCTCTTCCCAGGAAAGAACATTTCTCCTGGTCTTAGCATTGCTTAGTAGTCTGAAGTTCTTTGTACAGGACTGAGGTTTTGTTAGTTTCCACCCATCCACATTGCATGTTTACTGGCATCATCCTTAGTCAGCTAATGTTCAGACAGTCATGTCAATGAGTTATGGGGGATGTCTTTTTCTATGCTGTGAATATAAGTTTCTCTTATTGGTCGATGAATAAAGCTGTTTGGGCCAATGGACAGGCGGGATGTAGCCAGGCAGGAAGTATAGGCAGGGCTACCAGACTAGGAGAAGGTTAGGAAGAGAACTTAGAGAAGAGTCACAAAAGAGATGCCATATAGCTACTGGGAAGGTAGGACACCTGGGCATTCTCCAGTAAGCCAAGACCATGTGAGATACAAAGATTAATAGATATGAGTCAATAATTAAGAGAGTTAGCCAATAAAAACCCGAACCATCAGCCAAAAAGTTTATAATTAATATAAGCCTCTGTGTGTTTATTTGGGACTAAATGGTTTCAGGACCAGGCAGGACAGAAACTTCCATCTACAGATGAGTCTTTATGGGTGTAGCTAATATCATTTCTAGGAGACACCAATCTCACTACAAACTTATTGTTTGTCTGGCTCTTACCATCTTTCTGTTCCTTCTTCCCCAGTGATCCCTGAACCTTAGGTAAAGGAGTTGTATTGTAGATATCAGTTGGGACTAAGCTCCACAACTCTGCATTTTGACTGGTTGTGACTTTCTGTAATGGTCTCTGTTGTTGCAAAGAAAGTTACCTTAGTGCAGGGTGAAGGCTACACTTATCTGTGGGTATACAGACAAACACTTAGAAGGTAATTTGGGGTTGTGCTGGTTTAGTAAAGTGGTGGTTGTAGGTTCTCTGTCGAGATCCATGACTTCACTAGCCCTGGTAAGCTGGCCAGGTTTCGAATACCAGTATGATTTACGTCTTGCTAAGTAAGTCTTAAGTCCAATTAAAGGGTTGGTGGTTAACACCAAAGTATGTGTGGCACTGCTGCACATTTAGTGCTATTGGGTCACAATGTTTGTTTATATGGTTAAAAAGCATCATAGCTGGGTAGGACTGTTGGTTGCTTCCCTCCTTTGGCAGATTGTATTGTACTTTCCGGTACTACAACAGAACTCTAGACCTTAGTGGGCCTCCCCAGACATTCGCACAAATGCCACAATGGAAATACCATTCAAGCCTTGGAACCCAGCATGTAGGCAGTAACACCTACCTAAATGAGAACAAAGACCTAGTCCATCAAAGTCCATTGTTTTGGGAAAGTCTGTAAATATGCTTGTCTTGGTATTTTGGCTTCTGTAGTTCCACTTCTGGGTAACTATTCTTGCTAATTAAAGTGTAGCAAGCTAGAATGTGTTTTTTGTGCATACAAGTTCACCCTAGAAAAGCTCAAGGCTGTACCGGTGCCCTAAACAACCACTGTAGTCACCAGCTAGCTAATAAAGACTTTCTATTGGTTTGAACCCATGTCTTCTCTGGTAGACACCTCACAACAGCACCATGAAAGCTAGTTCTCAGGGAGGAGGCTTTCAGTCAGTTCTAGCCCAGGGGCCTCTTGGTCCTGTGTCTGAAATGCATGGTGTCTTCAGCAATAAGAATTTACCTTCCACCTCCTTTGGGGTAGGAAATGACCAAGAACAATACAATAACCTGTAGTGGTTTTTTGTTTTGGGGTTTTTTTTTGGGGGGGAGACTCTTGGACAACCCTAATAACTAGGCTTTGTGTTGGTTTTTTTGCTAAATTATCTATGGCTCTTGGAGGGAGCATTGTCAGCCCAGATGGGATAATTTCATTTAAACTCTTATGTATATATATACATCGACTTACATGTATTACAGGTATGCTAGGTATACAGTTAATAGTACTGAGTCCTTATGACCTTTTCAGACATCCTTAATGTTAATGTTATTTTACCCTCCTAATTCTTTCTTTTATATTTATCTCTCCCTTCCCAGTTAAAGCCCCTCCCCATTTTTCCTGTTTCACCCTTCAGACCACTTGTATCCTGCTAGTCCCCTCTCTATGGAGGAGCTTTAATTATCTTACAGAAACCAGTATGAGAAAACAGGCCCCAAACGTAAGCATTTACATACATCCATTGCCTCACCCTTCTCCACTCTCTCCCTACCAGGATAGGGAGTAGTGCTGGCAAGACAGTGGAATCCATGTATATTAACTTGGCGATATTCATTCGTTCTCACTCATTCAGCAAATGTGAGTGTCCCCCACATTGCAGACACATTGAGAGGCAAGTTCTCAAAATCAAAACATTTGGCTTTGAAAAACCGTTACGCACCACAATGATGTACACATTGATTCCTGACTCTTAACTCTTAGGGATAATCCATACACGAGATTGGAATTGGGTTAAAAATGCAGAGCGTCCTTTGAAGATCTGCAGAAGCGACAGCACGGCAGCACAGGCGACAAGTGCTGGGAAGTAGAAGGGAGGAACAACAGTTTGTGGGAAGCCTCAAAGGTGAAGAGACTTTCTGGAGACAGTAGAAGATAAATGAAGACAGAAAGACGTTCAAGCCACAGAGGTCAGTCACGGAGACACACCCCTTGTCTGGTCCATCACTGCCCCTTCTCTCTCATCTTCTGCCTCTTGCCCTGTTGCTTTTTCTGGTTACTCATGTGGTCACATTATGCTTTGGCATCATGACCTCAGAATTGTCAGAATATTGTAAATTGTAGCAATGCCATATTCTTCTCCTAAAGAATATATACATACATACATATGGCTGGTTTTGTCAGAGCCAAGAAGAGGAAGTATACAAGGTTTCTGGAAGAGATGCAAAGGAAAAAATATGTTTTTTAGACATTGTTTAGATTAGTTTGTCTTTTTATTTATTTATTTATTTATTTGATTATTTTCCTTGGGACATCAGATTGTGAGAAAAAATGTATTTTCTTTACTACTCAAACATTGGAATTTTCTGATTAGCAATTTAACAACCAAACAAACTACAGCCCACAGAGGAAATAAAAATAGTGATTTGGCTCTACTAAATGGAAGGGGAAAGGATGGCAAGGGAATGCAGACAAAGGTCAGTAGATAATACATTATTGCTTTAAAGAGGAAAGAAAAATGCTGGGCATTGGTGGCACACGCCTTTAATCCCAGCACTCGGGAGGCAGAGGCAGGTGGATCTCTGTGAGTTCAAGTTCCAGAACAGCCTCAAATCTACAGAGAAACCCTGTCTCAAAAAAAAAAAGAAAAAAGAAAAGAAAAGAAAAGAGGAAAGAAGAGTAGAATGCTGGGAGACTGGCACAGTTACCAGAGGAAATGGGAGCTTAAAAATGTGGCCAGGCCTAAAAAGACAGCTCAGGGGCTTGCCACATGAGCAGGAGGAACAGAGTTCAATACCCAAAAGCCATCAGGCGTGGTAGCAGGTACTTGTAATACCAGCTGTAGGAGGACAGACAGGGGATCCTTGGAGCCAAGAGCCAGCTGCCCAGCCAGCCTAGCCTACTCAGTGATCTCCAGGCTAGTGAGAAACCCTGCCTCATAGAACAGGAAGAACAGCAGCCATTGTCTGGCTTCCATCACATGCACATACATCTACACACACACACACACAAACACACATACACACACACACACACACACAC